AAGAAATGTAAGCTTTATTGCCGCCAAACATGTACATTTTCAGTTTTATTTAGTTGTATGAGAATCCTGTCTTTTATTCGTACATCTTATTTCTCTTTTACCTTTTCCAGTTGCCCTTTAAAGTAAACAGCACTTACTTCGTAGAGGATTGGATTTCATTCTTTCCTATTTGTAATAGCAATATTCTTTCTCATATAAATTCAGAACTGAACAAAATTAGACAAGGTTATATATTAACAGAAAACAATAACTTAATATTCGTACTTACTGTTTGCAATTCTGGTTATGTTAAGTAATTTCCGTATATTATACATAATTTTACACAAATTTACACTTAAAATTCTCAAGACGAAATAAATAGAGGTTTTGGCTTAATCTAGGCTACAGTTTAAACATGTATTATTGCACACGGAAAAATAAATGCCTCAACCGATCGCTAAAAGACGAATTTGCAAAGCAGCCAACCCTAACAAAGTTGCTCTGTGACAGTCGCACTTTGTTTTCACAGTCTTTTGTATCGCTGTATTCTGTGTTATCGATAGTTCTTTATTCTCTGATACTTGTACGTAACGAATCCTACATCGGGGAGTGTTACACTCGACTGGGATCGAACTATTTCTCTTGTATCTTTTCACCTGAAGTATTTTGAAATTTCTTTGACTTATCCCTCGTCCTGGTTTTCTTAAAACGCAACGTTTCAGAGACTGGTTCTGTTTCGGCCTGTAAGCATGGAGAAGCTAATCTAAAAGGTTCGTTTGATACAGAAATTTCCCCATTCGCTTGTTTCTGAAACGTTACGTTTTAAGAAAAGCATGGCTAAAAGGCACGAGAAGTAGAAACTGTAATGGTCTACACTTTCAACAGAACATTAAGAAATTTACTTATTTATTTATAGTTTACTTAAAGACGCTTTTTCAGTAGTTCAGACTACATGGCGTCGAATGAGGATAAAAGTGAATAATTAAATGGAAAGGATGTGGAAGAAAGGATCGTGGCCTAATTCAAGGCACTGAGGGGACAGAGGAAAACTACGGAAAACCTCGGACAGGGTAGCCAGTCTCTGGGCCGAGAATGGAATCCGGGACCTCGCGGAAGTCCATTCCACCTCTACGTTCAGAAATAATCTGAATTATTATTTACTTTTAAAAGGTATTGAACCCACTTTTGTACAACCTCAAAGGGTGAAGATGTTAAATTGTGTTTACCTTCAAACCAACGTTGGCAGGCCTCATTTTATACAAAATATAACTCATCACAACTTCACAATTTGTTTCCTTGTAGCGTGCAACAGAAAAGCATAAAGCCTGAGACTGAATGTCTGCAAGAGATAACTAACTGTGTGAAATGGGCTTTTTAACAAATTAATCGCTTTTAGTAAAGAAGTATAATTGCACTGCCTGTAGTTGCAAAGAACTTTAAGCTTCTGAAGGATCTTAACTTAAACAGTTTAACACGGCCTGTAATTAAAATACGTATATAACAACATATGTCTAACAAAATTACGGAAACAAATGCATAACATGGAGCTTTATAATGTTTAATCTTTACTAAATACTATTAATAAAATAATGTGGAGCTTTATAATGTTTACTCTTTACTAAATACTATTAATAAAATAAAATAAATAAAATGTATGACCGGGACATGCAACACGTATGAAAGTTAAATATGAGTACAAAATATGAGTCGGAAAATATAACGGGACATAACTTGGAAGATCTAGGTGTAGATAAAAAGGTAATATTAAAATGACAAGTTGAAGGCAAACTTGCCGATGTACTTAATTAAGTGCCGGGAAGCATTAGATGGAGGCATGTGATTTTCATGCCCGGTCGCTTAATTCCCGATGTCAATTGAATGGGTCCCTCAGCCGCCTTAAACGCGGTGCCAAAAAGAAAAACGTCTGCCTCTGCTGGGAATTGAACCCTGGTAACTCAGCTCGTAGCCTCACTATACTACTGAATTACTATCTTAATGAACTTTACATTTTTCAAATATCCACAGACATAAAACACTAAACTGAATTGCTGTAACTTATAACTCCGCGAATCTACACAGAGTTTTAAAAGAATCAGTACATTTGTCTGTAGCATGTACTGTGAAACAATCGAATGACGGACAGACGAACATTGAGAGTTATGGAGACAGAATTCTGTTTTTTAAAGTTCTTGAAATAATTATTATGCAACATAGAAAATAAGTAAACCAAGTAAAGACGTCATTTAGGGCAGAATAGATTACTGATGACTAAAACAAATTGCGGGTGTGGATGGAAAGATGCAGCCACAATAAACCTCTAAAACAGATGCAAAAATCCATAAATCTTATACGAACGTCTAGACCAGTCTTAGTAACTTCACTACTCAATTTCGATGATAAGAAGTTTGGACTTATGACACGTATTTTCCCTTAAAATGCTCCTGTTTGCTTACAGAATAAACAGAAATGATAAATTAATAATTAGCATATAAATTTTACAACCCATGCCTGCGGAGAATGTTCAATACTTTACTAACTAAATAACTAACTAACTAGATGGCTTACCGAACCCGAAGGTTCATCACCGAATTAACCAAAGCCCTCCTGGGCCAACAAAATCCAGTCTCCTTCAACTCCTATCTCCCATAGATCCCGCCTGAGATTATCCTCCCATCTACGTCTAGGTCTCCCCAGCGGTCTCTTCTCTTCAGGCTTCCCAACCAGTACCCGGTGCACACCTCTTGTCCCATCCATGCGCGCTACATGCCCCGCCCATCCCATTCTTCTCGACTTAATCACCCTGACAATACTGAGGGAGGAGTACAGATTTTTAAGTTCTTCATTATGCAGTTTTCTCCACGCCCCATCGTCTTCCCTCTTGGGCCCAAATATCCTCAACACTCTATTCTCAAACACCTGCAATACTTTACAGTCAAATTAATAAGATCATGCCTAAAAATGTTTCATATAGTCTCGGAAGAGTATGATAAATCGACATGTTCGTATGTTTTTAAATATTAAATATCGCTCGATACAAAAGTTATTAGTTATCACCCATCACCATACCATATTCCACGTGCTTACTTATAACGGCTCACTGTATGTCACAGATTGAAAAATAAATATAGATTTATCATTACGGACATGTTGTCATTTTCTGTTCTACCAAAAGAAAGGAATTTAACAAGAGGAACACATGTTTAAGCGTGTTCGCAACTAAAACGTGCAGAAACGCGATTACCAACTTCCGTCCGCTCCAGAACCGGTCAACGGATTTTCATGAAATTTAATACTGAGGAGTTTCACTAAAATTTGTAGACACATTCTAATTTTGTTTCAGCTCCAACAATAATGAGCCCTTCATATGAATACCTAAGTTAGATGCGCTTCTTCGCGCCAAAGTGGTTGGGTGATCTGGCATACAAAATGGCACAATCCTATATCAAGTGACGCAGCGACTCCCATTTCAGAAGTTTGCATGATCGCCATTACAATGTTAACTAACACCATTGGGCAGAGTCCTCATTTAGAAGCTAATAGACCCTCTTGAGGTCAACACATTGCCCATCTTTCATGGAATACGAAGGTCGTTTACCATGTTCAAAGGAATCTACCACAAGACCCTATCCTGAGCCAAATGAATCAAACCCATTTCATATTTGTTTAAAACCCACTTTAATATTATATTTTCATTAAGCCTAGGTCTTGCGACTAAAATTCTGAACGCATTTGTCAAAATTTCCTTGCGTGCTACACGCTCCGCCCAGGAACTTCTCCTTTATATTTCAACCTAATACTGACTGTAGCAAAGTTAGATTTACGAAGCTCCTAATTAGGCCTTTGCAATTATGTCCAGGTAATCGCTTATAACATACAGATTTTAAGCAGTATTTCTCAACAAGTGAATTCCCCTGCATCCAACCGAGTCTTATTCAGAAGTACTTGGTTTGAATCTAAAGCCGGTTACCTCTGGCTGAGTGTTTCATGGATTTTCATCATTAATGCATGGCGGACAACAAAATCACTTTCTTCCAGCCTCCCCAAACCGCAATCACTTTTAAATGCCATGAAATACATGACCCAATCACTGAACTACTTGTCAGAGCAGGAAATCAATAAGTCACAATTGTTCCAAGACATGACATCACTGAAATATACAAGTATGTAGCTGTAAATACAGTACAATTAATAAATGCATAATGCCCTCATTTTATTATCGATATTCTGAAATTGTATAAGTGTGCACCAAGTTTGGAAACGGTGTGGAATGAAGTGGTCGTGGAGTATTTAAATGTGTCATGAAAGAATTTCGTAAAACGACAGAGAAAAGTAATGAAACACCTTGGTCAAGACAGCCGACATCCCACCTGAAGTTAAGGATCACTAAGAGACTGGGGTGGAGGGATAAATGAACGTGGACGTGTTTTATCCAGATAACATAATAGTGTTTGCACAATATAGGGAGAATCACGGAAAGTTCGATTACACGTTATGCCCAGGATTCGAAATATGTGCCACCTAGTACACGATCATGATACCGAGAAGATTAGGGTAATTAAATACTACAATCCACTACGTAGTTTGAATTTAATCACCGAGTAAAAAAAAAATAGCCACTGAATCTTAAGGGTACTGTAAGTAGATCGAATTTCTTAATTCGATAAAAAACATATCACTTTTCTCAACGATAGTATAAGTAGTTTAAATCGCGATATTATATAAAAAATAATCGCTGGATCTCATCGATAGTAATAAAGTTTGAATATCGTCATTAAAGAATAAAAAAATATTTTTTCCGATACTATAAATATTTTTAAATACGTCATTATTAATCAGTGAATCTTATCGATACCACAAGTAATACGAACATTAAATAAGAAACTGATAATTGAATCTAACCGATAACTTAAGTAATGTAAAGATCTTCCTTTAACATAAATAAATTTGAACAGTGTCATTCGTCACTCACTACACATTTCCGGCAGGAGGAGTTCGCAGCAAACAAATGCGACTTGACTTACCTGTTGAAGTCCATGGCGTCGATCTCGTCGTAGAGACGGCTGGCTGGCACAGCTGCGGCATCCATGGTTCATGCTGCTTCAAGACGTCGCGACGCCGGATCACATCTGATAGTCGTTCACACTAACAGACACCAAGCAAATGTGTTGCTTAGCAACGCAACCCAACGTCACTCGCATGCGTGTCTGGACGTCGCTTGTTGCGACATGAATATAACAGCACCACGTCGTGGATTTCCTCAGACACAAGGCACTATATAATGCAAGAATACCTTTATTATACCTTTTGAATCAACAGTTTCATAGGTAAAAGAAATGAGGTGATGAGTGGGATCGACAGACCCCGGAACCTTCACCTATTGGCGTGGGTTGTTGAATACGACCGCAATAGCCCTCGAATCGAGAAAAACCAGTGCCCGGGAATATGTATTTCTTTGATGGTTTAACTACGCCGCATCAAATAGATACATTTCGCAGCATCCAATGTAACTACGGTCATTGATTAATACTGCGAACACCAAACAAACCAAACAAAAGATTTTAAGACGTGTTCCTTTTTATTCGATTCTGCATACAGAAATGTTCTTGACGTTCATTTACAAATCAGGTACATATCTATTGCTAAAAAAAATAATCAAACCAAGGCATACTGCATAGTCAGAAATTTGTCTTGCATTTCCTTAGCTGCATACGAAATTGACAAAGATAACTCTCGCAATTGTTACTAGCTTTGCCAACTGTGGGACCTGGTTTTGTGCCATTTTTTTCCTACACACGTAAAAACAGATGGGCCCCGCATCAAGACAGCCACAGAGAGACAGACAGACATTTGCTGCGAGGAAAATTGTAATTGCATCCGAAACCAGTTCTGTATGTTACAGGTTAGCACTGCAGTGTGTCTTTTTGTAACACTATTTTATATTTTACTAGTAAATTGCCTGTCTAGAACGACGGAAAAATCTGCAGTAGTGAACGGTCATAAATATTACTGCACCATAGGGCTCAATATCTCTTAACAGCATTACCATGCAGTTGTTATGACACCACACATTCATGAATACTAACCCGTAAGGTCCAAAATCCCTTAACAGCAAATGGTCACACGCCAATCGACCAACCATACATAACTTTATTATTACTTTATGGATAGATGTCTTGTGTTACTGGCTCATACACACTTTGTGTTTAGCGAAGAAATGAGAAACTAGACATTCATTAGTGTTAACAGCGGCCTTGTTCTTGCGGTGTTTTTTTTTTTTGGGGGGGGAAGGGAACCCCCGAACTTCGCAAAGGATTACCGTGCTACTTTATTTTTTATTCATAACATTTAACTAAAATTAGTCCATATCAAAGCATCACAAAATTACTATATAGTTATACAGCATGTAAATGAACTATTCAGACTTACACGAACTGACAATTCACATCTAAAGCCATTACCCGCTTTCAGTTATTTTAGTTCTTATTTTATTAATTACGCTTTCACAACTACGTGCAATATAATTTTAGCATCGAAGACGATAACCGTGAATGATAAATTCGGTAGGAAGTGGCCGTCGTCCTTAAAATAAAGAAAACCACGAAACAATCAGCCGAAACGGCAAGCCTCCGGCCCGAAACTAGTACATAAAACTGCTTGACACCCAAATAACTGGTTAGTTTACGACGTTGTGACAGCTGAGGTTGTGTATAATCGTATGAAATGGATAAATTATTATAAATAAAGTTGGAAGGGGTGTGGCAGAAAACAGTAGTGGTCGTCGTCCATGTACTTTGTTGCCACAAGAGCTGTTTACAAGAACCGACAAATTAGGAAATGGACGCAGAGCGTAACAGTTCTGCCAGGTTCGCCAGCATCTGACCTTTGCAAGCGCAGCCAGTAACATCAGAGTGGTCTGGACCTAATGACCAATGAGTGGGTGGAGTATGTGGTGCATCACAGAGGATGTCCCCACGTGGTGTTGTTGCTGGCTGGGGATCCATCACCTAATCACTTCCGCGAGGAGAAATGTATCTAGGTCTTAAGCAAACTGTAAGTTATTGTCAGATTTGAACCAACAATGGAATGTGTAGAACTCCCCAAAATCAAATTAAATTAATTTTTAAGCGGCTCTTGAGTTGTTATATGCCGACAGACGGACAGAGAAACACGACGATGGCAACAAAAGCATTTTTATAAATTTCAGTTGTGAATGTGCCTAGAACAAGAAACTGACTTATGCACTGCTATAAACAAGAATGGTCTCGTGATCATATTTTAAACTCAGAACCTTATTCTAGACTGCCAGAGTGCTTTTATTTTGTGGGACCACAGCCATGACACCACGAGGGAAACTAAATCTGTTTTTTTTAAAATTTAAAAGTTTTTGAATTACTGGCCTAAGTTTCATAATTTCACAAGTTCAAATGAGCCCCAACTTCTTTGACTTGATTTTCCATTCTTTTCACACGATGACTAAAGAAATATCATCACTTTTCTATAGACTAGGAGTGTGTTTCAGAAAGAAAGGTAAAGCATGTCTCACTTTGCATGAGTGGGAGATTCTATACCATCCACCACACAGTCCTGACCACGGATCGAATCCATTTTCATAATTGTCCCAGTGTAATTATTTCCAATGTATATTTACTTACTTTTTTAAACATTCTCCTAACTGTTGTGTGAAAAATATGTGGTATATACAGTTTTGTGCTGTCCAGTTTACTCTAAGTGCATGGGATATACAAATGGACACTTTGTAATGAAAAGGTCTTTAAAAGTTTCAATTTTTGTATGTGAAATTGCTCCTGAGTGAAAGGCAATGAACTAATACTCCACTTACACTGCTGGATTTTTTAGAGTTAAAACATCAGAGGCCCTACAATTTAAAATTGATTCATATAATAATGTAATGATCCTGTGAAACACCAACACAGAAACAACAGCTCCAGGGAAGAGATTTTCAATAATACAACAAATATCAGAAACCTTTCTTTATTCTGAATGGTTATTAAAAATTGTTTTAATAAAATGTTTTCCAGACCATTTACCTTCGAATTTAAGTGATCGCCTTTCTTCATTGCCAGTCCACGCTAACTGAAGGGAAGTTACGAGGAAAACAAATTAAAGGCAGTAGGACAAATTGTATATTCCACCAACAAGGGTTATGAAATTATGGTGCCATCTACACATTGGTACCAAAAGTAACTAATCACTCCGGCACGTATATGTTCTTCGAACAGATGGTAGCAGAGTATGTAGCTCTTACCCTGCAATCTGTCGTCAAGTGTTGTAACTGCCAGTTTACAGCCTCTGCGGAGCAGTTTGCTAAAGTTGTTGGCATAGTGGTCGCAGTAGTTTTTGGCCGGTAGAATATTCAAAAGGATATGAGCGAGACACTTGTACGATAGTATAATGTTTCGTCTGCCACCGGCCACAACTACTGCATCTGCTATATCTCCTGTGATTACAGCAACCAAGAAATGATCTGGTGGGATTTCGGGTTCTCAAGGCGGTGCGTAAGCAGTTCACCCACGTGTCAGAGGTGATTGCTCATTCCGTTGATGATGGAGGCAGCACATATCTCTGAAACGTCTGTAAACTTATACCAGATTACATATTTTCTTAAAAACGGGAGAGGTGCTTCAGGCCACGCTCGCAATGGTTGAACGATTTTGCATCACAACAAGAACTGCAGATGACGAACTGCAACTGCAGTCTTCGCCTGTCCTCAACCCACAACTGGTGATTGGCTGTTGTTATGTTCCAGCTAAGGTCAATCCATTTCTTAAGGAAAGAAATTAACTATGGTCTGGTGTAAGTTTACCGACGTTCCAGATGTGCTTGCTGCCTCCATCAACAATGCTATGAGCGTGGTACCGTAATTAATTACCGACATTGAAGGGTAAAAACTTTAATAGTTATGGATTACCAACCAAGCTATTTACAGTAGGCTAGTGATAAAAAACCCCAACAATACAGGTACCTCTCAATACTGACCTGTGCTGTAATAAACATAAACAAATTAAAGGGTTTCATAATGCAAACAGAGCTGTAAATTAAAATTTCCTGAGAAACCAATTTTACTTGTTATATCTGGGAGAAATTTTGTATACAAACTGTGAAGTCATCATTTGCCTGCCATAACCAAGAACTCATCCATGTTCATTATAGCCATGTTGTACTGTATATATATATGTTATGCAATTATTAATCCAATATGAAATATACATTTCAGTTATAATACAAATAAAAATGAAAAGCCTTACTTTGATTCCATAAGTTCCTCCATCATAAGTATTGGCTCTGTAGTGGGAAGCTTGCATCTGTCTCCATCATAAGTACTGGCTCTGTAGTGGGAAGCTTGCATCTGGATGACCGAGCTATAGTACAGCTGTCTCAAATTAGTTCTTCCTAATATGAAGAGGAAATATCTGTGGAAGGTATACACAGCAAAAATATACAAATTAATTTGTCAAAATATTTATTTAAAAAATAACATCTTACTACAGCTAACATAATTATGTGTCATGTATCACAGACATTTTTGGTTGATAAGCAGAATCTGAAAGTTTATGTTAACTAAGGCCTTTCCTATCTACACACTGCATTGTAACACTTACATAATACAAGTATTTACTGCAGTTAACATAACTATATGAGAATACTGTCTTCCAGCAAAAGCATCAATGCAGTTCTTACTCTGAAATCATGCAGTATCACATTTGTGCAACTAACTTCAAGAATGTGGCAGTGTAACTCTTCATAAAGCATGAATTCCTACACATTCTGCTTGTAGTAAGCTAGTGAACATTCAGACACAGTAACTAAGTACCATTAATCTGTAAAAACTAATCTGGATCTGGTGTCTATTATACTTTGAACAGACTACAAAATACATCCAGACAGCAATAACAATATCCAGACTAAGAGAATGTTGCTCACTGACTTAGAAACATAGCTAAGCCTACCATAAATCTCAGTTATGCATTGTCATTTGTGTAAGTATGGAGATACTATGAAGTACAGTTTGAAATGTGGTAGCATCTCAATAGAAGCCTAGTCCATTATCATCAATGTTCACAGTTCTTCACATTCCTTTGGTTTATTTCAGTTACACTGAGTTTTGACTCACTTATCACATAAGAATACTCTTATGTCAGCACAACTAGTTTCTGCCAATAAAAAACTCCACTCCAATGAAGTCTTTGGTTATCTTTTTTAAGCTTTCATACAAAAACATTTTACCAGTCCCTGATTTAGTAGGTTCACTTCTACTTTTGTCATGAAAATAATCAAACAAAACATTTTCATATATAATCCTAAGTATTTTCAAATATAAATGGAATTACAATTTCAATAATTAACTTTATGCCAGCAAAGTAATAAATCTACCTTACTATAAAACTCTGCAATAACTAATCATATGATAAAATACTTATCTGTGACATTTTATTGATAAACCTGTGAGATTCTCAACATTTGCACTTACCCACTTAATTTTCAAATTCCAGTTTCTTACAACTGCAGATCTGTAGCCATTCAGATATTACACATTCCACATGATTGATTTCAAAATGACCTGATGTATTAATCATCTCCCTAATTTGAGTAGCTTAAGCTAAAGTCTCCCACATCAGCAGTCAGCTGTTTCTTAGTATTTTAACGCACGATGTTGCACTATCTGCACACATATATTTATTTTCACCACAACAGAGAGCATCTCTGGGGATCATCAAGCCTTGAGAGTATATAATTTAACAGTAAATCTGCCACAGTGTTAAGCCAGTTATTTCAATCTAGTGTTAAGATGAGAATGTGTGGAGTTTCACCTCCATAATCTCTGTATACATTAAAGATACAGAGTTAGCTTTTCCTTACAAGGATAATATGTAGGATTTTAATCATCTTTGGCCTCTCTTCTTCTGGTATATGCTCAATCTTAATCAACACAACTTAGAAAGTAAAACCATAAAAGACATTCAAACTGAAATCACACACTCTGAAGTTCCATTTCTGAACTAATGTACTATTTATAAAGTTTATAATTTTATAAACTGTAACAGTGGCTGTTTTTTAAACTTGTTCTACTACAGCTGAACATTTTGTATATTTAATAAATAAAAACAAACTGTAGCTTGCCTTTATAAAATTAAAACTCACAGTATAATTTAACATTTAGAGAGTTTTTGAGTATACTTTCACCATTATGGTAGTACTTGGCAAAGGCTTGGGCAGGAATACTTCTCATACTAAGAGAACAGAGATATTCAATGTATATTTTGAAGACTCAAGATCCAAATGTTTACAGGAGAAATGTAATTATTACAATTTATGACAATACTGTCACTGTAAACGAAACAGATATCTTAAAGGAATAGGTAATGAAGTGTTCCAGCCACTTTATTATCTCAACATCAATTCAGTTGCATGATACTGTTTATTAGGAAGAATAAAGAAATTTTATGATTTAAATAACATTTTATAATCCAGTTTCTACCCCCAAGAAAACGTCATATGTACATTACATACATAATTCACTTAATAATATCTAAGAAACATAATTGGTGTTTATTTTGAGAACTAAATGAAACCCATAAATACACTCCACAGACAACATTCTTAGGTGCTCATTCTCTAAAGGTTTGTCACAATACCTGATTCATTAAAGGAATATTATGCTTGACACTGTCTACTGTCTAAAAAATCTGTCAGTATATCAAACATACAACAATGTTCAACAAGATATTCCTATTTTGAGTTACTGAACTTATGCCAACTATACAACAATGTTCACAAAATATTCTTATTTTGAGTTACTGAACTTATGCCAACACATATTTAAGCTAAATAAAACAAAACAACACTGCACCTATTATGAATTAAACTGAATAGACTTTACTCTGATTGGTAAAGGTGTCATATGTTTTATGTCGAGTACAATATTACTTCAGGATATTATAGAACAGGAATTATAAAACACACTGAAGTAGCATGGCTTACAGTAATAACACTGGTGTACACTAACAATAAGACTAAACAACTAAATTAAATTTTCGGTAACTGATTTTTAAAAATGAAAATTCATACGTCACTAAGACACATGAAAAACATTACCATTATCTGTGAGACTAGGGAATGGTAAATTTACCTTCAGAACACTCATCTTACTGAAGCAGGAGTCATTTGGTATGGCTTAGGAATTAAGTATACATTCATTCATTTATATTCACTACTAAGCAGTTTCCTAGCACTTATATGGTATTTACTGTTTATTCATATGAGCCGGGATAGCTCAGTCAGTATAGTGACTAGCTACGGGCTGGACGGCCGGGCTTCGATCCCCGACGGGGCCGGAGGATTTTCCTCTAGCCTCTGCGTCCAGACCGGCGCTGGGGCCCACCCAGCCTCCTCTACAATGGGTACCGGGGATAAAGCCGGCCGGGGCGTGATGCTGACCACTCACCCCCATCTAGTACCGAGGTCAAGAAAAAGTAGGAGCTATACCTCCACTCCCCCAATGCGCCTACATGGCGTTAGTGGGACGCTTTACTTTATTTAGACTCACAACTCCAATTACACGGTACAGGGGCCTTCTTGAGAAGTTTTCAGTTCCTCAGCAGATCACCGGATTATACATAAATGAAGTTGTACAAATTCTTGAATTACAAAAAGCTGAAGACATGTAAATGCAAAAATGATTGTATCATACAAACATTGACTAAAATAAAACAAACATGTGGATCTTGGCCAATGATTATTATATCATCTAGTGGTTTGCACCGAGTCTATATTTGGAAAGTACATCATGATAATACAG